GAACTTAATGAATTTTTTGGTAGCTTTCTTATTGTGCAGACGAATTCGCCAAGGTTCAGCGAAGCCGAAAGAATTTGCCAAATGAGGGTGTAGTGCCAAATTGTGCAAGTGGCCACTTTCAGAAACCATCGATGTGCTTGAAGCTTGGTCAGCTTCTGTAAAAGGAACATTAGGTATAAAAAATAGAAGATAAAAGAAGATAAATTGAACCTTTGGCGTAAGACTTTGCTACATTGTGAACTTCAGTGTGAGGATGGTAGTGACCGTACTGCAAACAAAAGAATTTAAATACACTGACGAACTATATTAGTTCCTTAGTGTATTGATTGATCCCTTTGAAAACAAATGTATGATGTGGTTTTGAGTGCTTACTGTGTGATGGTCCAGAGCGGAAGCCACAGGAATAGCAGGCAACGATGCCACCGGAGCAACTTGAGTGAATGGTACGATAGGAGGTATCGGAGCGAAATGAGCATGTGCTACGGGAACGTGAATGTGTGGAGGCTCTACAGGAACGTGTAAATGTGGAGGTTCTACAACTACGGCAGGCTCCCCTCCTAAGTAGCTTGCCGTTGACCTTAAAAGCAGCATCAGCCAGGTTTTGTTCCTAAAAGGAGGTTTAACTTGTCCTAAGCATGAATTACGCGATGCCTTACAAGGCTGTTTCGTGCAGGAGCAAAAATTAATATATGATGTTTTAGTTTAATAATTGAATCCATTGCCTAGCATCTCTTATATCGTTTAATTTGAGCTTGCTATTTAAAAAGTCATATGTTATATTGCGCACCTTTGAAAAATGATGAGAAGAAGAGGCAGAAGGGTAAAGAAGGAACTCATCACGTATAATGCTGCCTGCTTGTTTGATACTAAACACCTTTAAAGGGTTTCCATGCTTCTCGACGCTGCTTTCATTTGCAAAAAAAAAAACAACGAGTGAAGTTGGCACTGCCAATAGGTAATGCCCTTTTCTTACTTCTTGCTACCTCAAGACTTTGTATACTTATAGTAAGTAGGTGTTTTTGCAGTAACCAGCAATGGAACATACAATAGCACCTTTCCACTTATTCCAATGGTTTGAATAAATAATCTTTCATTAACGTGACTGGTGAAAAAATTTTAGGTTACTACTCCTTAAGGTATCCCTTCAGCATTCTTTGATACTCAACAGCACAGCTCTCCAAGTTAGCTGATTTTGCATGTGAATGTATATACCTATACTGCATTAAGAAAAACTGTCCTCGTGTGCAAAGATTTCAGACACAGTCAGCTTACATTTGAGTTGAGCTTCAGCATTCTGCATCTTTCATATTTTACCTATTTGTTTTTTTATTTCAGGTGGACGATAGGTATGCAGTAGGAAGTCAGCACCGCTATTTCGTCGGAAATCCAGCGATGAGGTTATTCGATGGTCGTCTCGACACAAAATTAACAAAAACGCTTGCAGGCAAGGGGATGATCCATTTTCGTCTTTGATGGCAGAAAAC